TACCTTGGACACTTCAGTGAATCATGTGCCTTTCCCAAATAGTTTTGCTTTCCACTATTAATGATTTTCAAAAACTGTTATGTCTTGACATCCGGCTACTTGTTTCCCAGACTCTGTTGTAAACTAAATGAATTCCTTTAATAGCAAAGTCTTCACCACCAAGATGCTTTATTCTTAGAGAAATGGAGAGAGGCAGCTATGCTTTTCCTGTGCTAACTGCTATGAAGCATAAAGACTTTTTGATTTGCACATTCCACTATATGAGGGAGGAAATCGAGCCCAGATTAAAGTTTTTACATACTTTCTGACCTGGAACCAATGAAGGGGAATTTGGGACCAGATTTTGCAAGATTCTGCATGAATCTGTGTTATGCATATCCACATTTATTAAAATGGACAAACAATATGAAATAGCCAAGTGGCAAAATAAGAAATTAATTTTGTTAAGGCTAGTTGCCTGCTCCTGTATGTCATTTACTTTCTGGTTTGCATTATTCTTGAGAGAATGCACAAGGAGAATAAGAAATGTCATGAAAAACTAACACCAATGGCTACTGGCCAGCATCCCTTCTAGTGAGCTTCTTAGCTGCAGTAACCAAACACTTTCTTTTCTCCTTTCAAAACAGAGTATTTTGTGTCTTTCTCATATTCATCTATTCAGATTTTTTTTTGTGTGAGATAGCTTCGTATCAAAAAATGAGTTTTCTTCTAAGCAATTCTGAGCAAGAATTTCATAAATTAAGGAGCATTACAAACCAACCATTAATTTCATTATTTCAAAGGTTTTTTTTGAATATCATGTCAAATTAAATAGAAAACATGATGAACAGATTTCTGAAAAAAACATACAATAATCCCACTGGAAATACAGTAAGTGTATATTAATTCATAGTCATTCTTAGGTCTCCGTATTATTGTAAAACTAGTATAATTTGTTGCATATAATATAATTAAATCTACTAAAGATTATTTCCACTTTGAGAATAATCTAAGCCCTTTTCAAGAAGCATGGGCATATCAAACACAGCTAATGGAGCATTAGCACAGTTTACACATGAAGTCTTTCATGTGGGACTCACAAAGTACTTGACAAAGATTATCTTTCACTACATCAAACAGCAAGCATCATTATTTAACATTCTGTGTACCAGAAAAGTTGAAACGCTCTCTGAAAAAGAGATTAATCAACTATTCTAGCATCACATGTCAAGTAGCTAAACTGGAAATAGAACCTAAAGGTTCTGGCACCTAACTCGCTGTTGAAGGCACTAGGCTACATTACATCCAGTAACACAGAACAGCACTGACATCAGCAGAAGTACAGTTTATCCCCTCTAGAATTTTAGAATGTCAGTCTCCATAACACTCTCAGTGTTTTTTGTTACAACACAGCAAGTATTAGATTTAATTGGTATTAATTCTAATTAGGAAATGTAAACAGTTCAGTTTAAGCAAATCAGTATGGTTTTTTCCTTACAGTATTTCCAACTTAGCGTTGACTAAAAATGATGGGAAATTGCGCATATGAGAAAAACCTGAATATCTATGAGTTCCAGCCCTATTTTCAAGCCAGAAGTTTCAGAAAAGCATCTGAGCTTTGGATACTTGCTGTGAGCTGGCAGAAAGATAACAGACAATTTTTTCTTACATTTGCTTAAACCAGCCACAACTGTTTTTTAAACAAACAAAACTGAAAGCAGATGCTTAACGGATGCTCAGTATTATCAGTTAACTCCTAATGTCAGAGAAGCAGCTGAGTTTCCAGACACTTATCTAAACCGAACCAATGCCTGTTCTAGTATCATATATCAAGATGGGTTTCTGTATTATTTTTACCTGTCTTCAGTGTAGAATTTTATAGGATTTCCATTCTAATGCCACAGAAAGTACCATCTACCAATTATAAAGATTCAAATCAATCAGGTGACTAAAGGGGAAACAGGGTCAATAATGATGGGATCTGACAACCTCCTGACAACTCATCTCAGAAAAAGGTAGGTGACATTGAAATATCAAAAGATGAGAAGTTAAATTAGACAAAATTAAATGTGTATGATTAGATACCATAAAACATAACATTATAAACCAAGAGGCAAACAAGAGAACGTAAGAAAAAAGCGGACAAGTAATCCTTATGGTTTTGCTCTTTCTAGAATACAAAAAACCTGAAACACTAAAAGATTCCAACAAATTTAATAATTTATATATAGAACTCATTGTCCCAGGACACCGAGCAGGA